GCACATGCATGATAAGTATTATTAAAATTCTTGACCGAGCATAATTGTCAGGTTAATTATATAAGTCATTTTATATAAGGGTGCATTATTCTCCCAAGGTTATAGTGTATTTCAAAGAATTAATTAGTGACAAGTTACTACAGAAGCACACCTACTTTATAACTACTAGCCCACCTCCAAAAGCATGCGCCTTTTATTATTAAAATAGTAATTCTAGCAAGCAATGGCTTGTAAAATTGAGTCTTTTAAAATTGCAGTGATGGCAGAAAAGCATCGAGCAAAACATTGACTTACCTAATCTTGAACTTGTGAGTCTTTTTTTAAATCCAAAAGTATTAAGGGAGAGTCATAATTAATGGCTATACAAAGTGACTTTTGTGTAGCAGCAATAATTAAGGTACACTTTTGTAAACAAGTAGAAATTAAAAAACAACTATAAAAGAAAAAAAGTTTTAAAAGTTAATGCTAAAATAAAATAAAATAAATAAAAGGAGAAGAGGAATGTAAAAAGATTGAAGAATCTAACACATGCATAATTATTGCTGAGCTAAGTAAACTTAGAGGTCGATAATTTTTTTAATTGATTGGTGTTTGTTTGCTTTTAATGGAATGTAATTATTCCCTCTAGTCTGTTTTTCACTTTATAATAAGTTTAATGTAAATTGTTAAAGAAAGTATGGTGTAAACGTATAAAAATCAAGCCTTATCCCTAATATACAAACATGGATATTTTAATTTCTAAATTAAACATTGTTCTGGTCAGCCTTATCCCTAATATACAAATATAGTGAGCCCATACTTGAAGAACTATAGAGGATATCCCTTAGAGAGACAAACAGCGTTTCCTACGAGATATTCTCCTTATTTTCTATGCACAAACAGCCATTGTATTTTGACAATGGCTGTAATGCGCCTTGTCCCCAAACAAGGCCAGACTACAATGGTACGGTTCTACTCCACCTTCCTCTTTCTCTCTCCCATGCTGAGTAATTCGAACCCTACCTTATAAATACTCCCTTCAAAGTATCATCACTGTTCTAATACTTCTATGAGTCGTTACTTTATTAACTTGAAGAACTACGGTAGCCACTAAACACTCCCAACCACTGTTATACTGCACTTGGGAAACTCTATAAGGGTCATAGTCAATACCATTGTTGCTAAAAGTATCCCTAGATAAACATACTATACCCCTTGTAGGATACATGCATGGTTCTCTTAACCATTGAACAATTCATTGGTGTCGTCACTAGGAATCTATAAACTATGATTCACGTCCCTTTTACTGAAAGCTTTAGAAAGGAAAAGAACTACCACATTTTTAAGCTTAACAACCCCAAAACGGTTTCAGACTAGAAGAACGAACCAACCAAGAGAAACAACCCCTAATGGCCATGTCCAAACTCTTCACAAAGATTCTGCACCCTATGTTCCCTTGGTTCAGCTACCAAATCCAACCCCATCGGCTTTTCCAGCCATTGATGGACCAGTCGCTACATTTTTTATAGCAGTTAACCCAACAACTCACGTTATGATTGAAGAGATGAGAAGAGAAATCTAATATCTTCGCCACATTATACAGCAGAATCCCCTGCTGGCTACTCAGGTGGAAGCACAAGCTAAAAGTGTGTGACCCACATACCCTGCACTATCTCAACCCCACCATCAAGCATTCCAACAACTACCTGTTCCACCCGTCGCCCATACTGTGTTGTCGGTCGGGAACATCCCTGCTCTACAACAACCAAACAACCACATTATCATTCCAGCCCCTCATACCCTTCTAATAGCCATTTCTGCCCAACTGAACCCAACTCAAGCATATCCTCTACCCCCTTTAGCCTTGATCGTCGTGGCCCTACAAAAAGCAGCCGGAGGAAATCCTCAGTTTGGATGCCTTTTCAACGTCATTCCCCACATCGCCATTCTTATGTGATGTCGGTCGCCCAGACACAACAGGTTGTTCACATGGCCCAATCAGCACCTTCTTATTCAATAAACAACCATGTGTTGCGGCAACAACCTAACATCAAGACCCACAACACCAAAAGGTGAGACAACATGTCCCCCAAAGCACACTTACCAACCTTTCAGGCGTAACAGATCCTTGATTGACGAGTTATGCCTCACGCCCATTTCGCTCGGATTCAAAAGCCCAACCAGCATCCCTTTATATGTTGGTGTCTCTGATCCCAACGAATGGGTGCAAAAGTTCGAAGTGGCAATTACACTGCAAGGGGAAATATGCATGATAAGTATTATTAAAATTCTTGACCAAGCATAACTTTCAGGTTATATAAGTCATTTTATATAAGGGTGCATTATTCTCCCAACATTATAGTGTATTTCAAAGAGTTAATTAGTCACAAGTTACTATAAAAACACACCTATTTTACTACTAGGCCACCTCCAAAAGCATGTGCCTTTTACATTGAAAACCAAATATGGGAAGAAAAATCACAGGACATTTATCTGTGTCCACCCAAATCTCCACTATCACTTAATAATAATAATGGGTACATAATGACAATGTTATCTCTCCATATAGAAATAGAAGAATCAAATATTATCATCTATAAAGAGATAGAAATCAAAGAGTAAAAACAATGAGGGAAGTCACCAATAACATTCCCAAGGGAAAATAGATCTGTGGTTCTAGAGACTATCAAATCACAAAGTGAACATTGTATACAAAGTACCAGACATTACGAATACTACTCTAAAATTTGACTTCATTCCGACAAAGTCTCATTGTTGGATTTGTCGGAGAATTCTTCTTTTTTTCTTTTTTTCTTTTTCTCTCTCTTTCTTCTTTCTCTTTGCGCGCTTCTTCCTTTCTTTAGTGCCTACTGCTGCTCTTCTTTCCCTCTTACTACACACTTTTTTTTATAAATACATTTAGCAAAGTAAAAATGGGCTTAGCCCACTAGGGTCACGGACCAACTGGTAGAATAAAAACAAAATAAATTATCAAAGGTATCTTTGCACTAGCACTTTATCCTAAGCACACGAGGAGATGAAATATTTCTTCCTCTCTCTTTTTGGATAAACCACAGGTATCCTTCTCGGAAGGTAATCTTGTTTGAACTAGGAATGTTCACTTTATGGTGGGGCTAGCTCTCCCAACAGAGATTTTTTATATTCACAAGAACTTGAACCCAAGATCTTGCTTAAGCGAAATCAAGCATGTACTAATTGAGCTAACCTCATTTGGTGAAAAGACGAAATGTTTGGGATGTTGTTTTTGTGTATATTATCCCAATAAAGGACGTAACACAATCGCATTATATGTACAGTTAGGAAAAACCATTATTCAGAAAATATTTAAACTAAGATTATCTATTTTCTACCAACAGACTGCTATGGAATGGAATCTAAACCAGTGGCGGAGCCACTCCTATGCCAGCAGGTGCCTTGGCACCTGCTTGGTTTTAAATTTTTTTACTTATTACATATAAATATATAATTAATTATGATTAACAAAAATTAAATTTATAATTTGGCATCACCTAAATAAATATAATTATATTTATGTTTTTCAATTAGAAAAATAAAACCCAATATCCAAACTCTTTTACCTAACCTATAAATTAAAATCACTTTCAAAGCTCTAATTGTGAATTACAATTGCAATCAGATTTCTTTGAAGCTTGTGCATTGCTCCTTTTTTTTATCTGACTTGTTGCACAACTTGCTTGCTCCTGCCAGGCTTCAACTGAAATAGTAATGGCTGTGGTTGGCTACTTGGCTTGGGGCTTGGGCGCTTGCCTTGCAATTTGTATATCTATTAAAAATGTGTTTGGTGTTTTGTGCTTTTAAGAAGGTGATCGTGTTTTTTCTTTTTACCGAAAATGTTAGTGCATTTTTATATGTTTGTTTTGATATATAATCATTGACAATTATTCATTTGAATTTTCAATGTTATGTGACATTATTTAATACATAATTTAAATAACAGAAAAATATTTATGTAGTTACTGCATATAAGTTATCTGCATTTATTCCCAAAACGACGTCGTTTTGGGATTGAAAGATTAAAAAATTATAATTATAAAGATTATAATAACCTTGAAATAAATTAAAATTACAAAAACAACACGATTTTTGCCTCAAAACAACATCGTATTGAACTTACTGCAGTCTATAGATAACTTATTTGCAGAAAAAGTGAACCCTTTAAATAACTATGTTAGAATTCATAATATATTTTTTCCTAATTAATTTATGTAATTATGATAAATATTTTGATAATTTGATATGGTAAAAAATTTTGGCACCACCTAAACTTTTCGTCTGGCTCCGCCACTGATCTGAACCTTGATTTTGCACGAACAAAAGCCGAAACAAACCCATTATTATGTAGTATTAGGGCTTTGTGTTTCTCCTTTAACAAGAGAAGAAGGAATTTTCTGCAAACACATATTAAAGGTGGGCTCCATGAAAAAAAACCTAGCACACAAATTGATGTATGGGTAGCAAGAGAAGTGTTTTCCCCATAGTATTATTTGTTAAACTTCACATGCATGATTATTATATAAGCATTATTAAAGTTCTGGTTGTTGACAATCTAAAGCATGATTATCAGTTTAAATGACTTTATATAAAGGATGCATTATTTATCCCAACATTTTAGTATATTTAAAAGAATTAATTTTATCAAATGCATATTTGAAGAAGGACAAATAATTTTAACTGTAAATAAACACCGCCTTGAGATTAGTCTCATAGACTGTCAAAAAAGTTGAAGCTTGTGGAAATACCTAAGGTTAACTCACCTCAAAATAGTAATAAGGTCAATAAAAATAAATAAATTAGTCACAAAGTTACAAATGAAGCACTCCTAACTTACTATTAAACTTCTCGGTCCGATCCAAAAGCATGTGCCGTTTATACTTTTTATTATGAAACAAACATGTGGGGCACAACACCAAAACTTCCCACTCCATCTATAAATAATTAGGCTGATTGGCTATCTCAATTCACTTTAGAGGAAACAAAAAATGGCTAGGGTTAGTGCTTGTAGTAGCTCTCCTTTGTACTCTTTGCTCTTGATCTCAGCCCTTGTGTTTGCTTCCCATTTTCTTGCATCCGAGGCACAAAAACAGCCCCCAGTAGTGAAGGGATTGTCATTTTCGTTCTTTTCCAAAAATTGTCCTAATCTTGAAACCATTGTGAGAAATCATCTCAAGAAGGTGTTCCAGCAGGACAATGGCCAAGCTCCTGGCTTACTCCGTATCTTCTTCCATGACTGCTTTGTTCAAGTAAGTGTTAATATAATCACCATATTAATTTATATTTTCATGCAAGGGCAAGTTTGATATTCGCTTAAAATTAATATGAATTTTTTAGGGAAGTATTTATTAGAAGATATATAAGGAAGAAATTAATAAATATTTCATTAATATTTCGTTTTGCATTATTTTCTACATGTCATGTATGGTTATAAATATATAATACTTGACTATTATCTTAGATGAAAAAAATAAATAAAAATAATAGTGAAAAGGACTGGTTTTTGAAGTTTTGCATAAAAATTTGAGGATTTGCATTCATCATTTAACATGATCACAAAAAATTTCCTACACACACAATGTTTTGTGGGACCCGCATGTTTTGAAGGAAAAAAAAAAATTACGACACGCAAAACGAATCTCTATAACATAACACAATTTTTTTTACAATATAACTCTCGTAAAACTCAAAATTTTATAAGAAAACTTCGTCGTGAATTTTTCATCTTCAATTTCGAAACTGATTTTATATAAGGATAACGTTTTGTAATCTCCAATCTTCATGCATACTTGGTGCTTTGATCTATGCAGGGATGCGATGGGTCATTGCTGTTGGATGGAAAACCAGGTGAGAGGGATCAAGTAGCTAATGGAGGCATAAGGACAGAGGCATTGAAGACCATAGATGACCTGCGAGGTCTTGTCCATAACGAGTGTGGAAGGATAGTGTCCTGTGCCGACATCACTGTCTTGGCAGCTCGAGATGCTGTCTTCCTTGTAATATTTTATTTCGTCCTATATATACATATGTGTGTGTTTTTTGAAAAGTGAGTGTTCTAGTGTGAAGAGCCAAAGCATTTTGGAAGACACAAAATGGGGCATGACTTACTTTGTATCTTCTGAATGTATTTGAACTGCTCACACTTGAATTTTCTATATTTGCACTAAAAATATAATATAAAAATTATTAATATAATTTTACCTAAATTGTTTAAGTTTTTGGATAGAATTAATTCTTTTAATGAATGAGAATCTCACATAGGTAAGTCTGTATATTGTCCATCTTTCAAATCCAATAAACTCTTTTGTGATGAAACGTATTAAAAAAATATAATATAATTATTAATATAACTTTTATTTAATAACTTAAGTTTTTTCATCGTACTCGTTTATTATAATTTCTTTTTATTTTTTATTTTTATTTATTTATTTATTTGGAGAGGGGGAGGACAGAGAAAACTTTAACATTAATAACTAATTGTTATTTATATATTAATAGAGCCCGGATGTGCCTTATCCTAAACATCTTTAGGAGATAAAATATTACAGAGATAAAATAAACACCTTTCAAGGAATATACACATTCATAATTATATATTGAGTCTAGGTCATCATTATTATTTGTGTAGATTCTTTCTGCTAATGCGTAGTTTTATATTTATTGTCCATGACCGAAGTACCTCAATAGATATTCCAGTGAAACTCTATGGTCGCATGATTATGTATAATTATGTATATATGTTTTTTTGTATAAAGATCATGATTTTTATTGATGGTCAGCACTTAATCATAAATTTAAGAAGCTAGCATTATGAATATCTTACAGATTATCTTAGATTAAACTTTATACTTTTTTTTGTCTTTGACACTTACATTTGTTTAAACTTTTGGACAGTCTGGAGGTCCTGATTTTGCAGTGCCCCTAGGAAGAAGGGATGGCCTAACATTCAACAATGATGGAACAAAAAAGCTTCCATCTCCATTTAGCAACACCAGTGAAACCATAAAAAGATTTGCAGAAAAAAACTTTGATGTCACAGATGTGGTAGCCTTCTCAGGTGCACATACCTTTGGCCGTGCACATTGTGGCACATTCTTCAATAGGCTTTCCCCTCTTGATCCCACTATGGACAAAACCTTAGCCAAAAATCTCAAATCCACATGCCCAGATCAAAATTCAGCTAACACAGCAAACTTGGATATTAGGACCCCAACATTGTTTGATAACAAATACTACATTGACCTACAGAGCAAACAGGGTGTGTTCACCTCAGATCAGGACTTGCTCAATGATCAGAGGACAAAAGGGTTGGTAAATTCCTTTGCAATTGATCAGAACCTGTTTTTCCAAAAGTTTGTGAATGCTGTGATAAAGTTGAGCCAATTGGATGTGTTAACTGGGAATCAAGGTGAAATTCGTGCAAAGTGCAATGTGATTAACAAGAAGCAATCTATTTTGACTTCTGTGGTGGAAGAAGTGGTAGAATTGACTATTTAATTGCTAAGCTGAGCCATAGTTGGTTACTTACGCAGTTTTCTTCATGTGTGTGTTCTATATTTCCTTTGCTTTTTAGTTTTCTAGAATGAATCTTGGGATATGAACCTTGTTCTAACTTTGGTCTTTTGTTTCCTGTTTCGTTAATGACTTGTAATAAGACTTTGTATGAGTGAGTTTGCTATGCAGAACACACCATTTTAATGTTTACCATTTTCTTTTACTTGTTTTGTTCTACTTCTCTAGTTAATAATCGTTTAATTTTTCATTTCATCCCCGTTATTATCTACTTAACGTTACCGAACTCATCGCCTTTTCATTGTTTAAGTTACCAGAATATATCTGAATTAGCATTACTTGCTAATTAAGATGATGTAGATTTTTATGTTTGAATGGTCTCATTAATTTTAGTATATGAGTATATTTCGTTAATTATATACAAGTAATTAATATTTTAAATATTTTTAAATTAAAATATCCCTAAAAAATTCAAGAAAAGCATCAATGGTAAAGTCAAGGACATCAGTTTTACACAATGTTATTAAAACCATACTTGTAATTTACTAGAAAAAAAAAATCGTACTTGTATCTGTTAATTTGACTAAGAAGTCCTGGCACCTCCGTCTAAATTGTCACCACCAGCAAAATTTTGAGGAAAACAACCTTATCTTGACTAGGATTATTGAGTTTGTGAGATTATTAAATTTCAATTAACGAGTTACACAAAGTTATAAACATATTTCAGTTTTCTGAACAAAATTGTACTTAATCGAAATAAATATTTGATGCTCAATAAACAATGTAGCATTCCCTAACTATACATATAAAGAGGAATTAAAGCCTCACCCTTTTCATCTTGGACTTGCTGTCTCATTTTTAAGAGCCATTTCTTTGAGTGCTGCTTGTAAGTTCAGGATTTGTATAACTCTCATTTCTGGGCTCTTCTTTGAAAGTGGTGGGCCTCAAAGCCCACGGTTCCCTATATATGTAGAGGCATTAGGAATGTTTGGTAGAGGAGAAATTTTTTTTTTTATTCGAAAATCACAATTTTTAAGAATATGATTGGAAAATGAGTTTTCCGGAAATGTTACCAAAAAGTTATTTGGTAATTGGTAGGCTAACATATTTTTGAAAGTATTGGGTTAATTTTCTTATACTATGTTAGGTTATATTAAAATTTTTCTTGTCATAGAAATCTTAGAATATCATCCCGTGAATGGTATTCTTGAATGATATTTTCAAAAAAAATTACACAGAAAATAAAATTCCGAGAAAATCAGATTTCTAAAAAAAATTTAAAAATCTTGAACCAAACATGAATAAATAAAATTACCACCTTCAGTTTCCCGAAAATCCTAAAGACTTGTAGTGGAGTGTTTTTTTTGGAATTTTCCCTCATAATTGAAAAGGCTTGCGGGAATTCTGCCACAGAGACAGTGTCTAGATAAATCAAGTGATTCCAACATTTTCACATGACCAATATTGTTGAGAATTAATCATGTGAAATTATTTCCCGAAAGATTTCAGGAATTAGCCAACGCTACAAGTCATGTTATAATCCGAGGTGTCCCTTCTGTTAAGTGATTGCTAGAAAGATCAATTGTTGTCATAAGTCCAACATTTTTTTTTTGTATTCTATGCTTGGTTGTTTCCCATACCAAAATTATATTCTCAATGAACAAGTCAATAAACACTGGTGGAGCCAAAAAAATATACTTAGTTGGTGCCAAAAAAATTTAACCCATGCCGAATTTTTTCTGTGCCTGTACTTCTCACTAAATATTATCTCTTCTCGTGATTTCTTCATGTGCTACAGCTTCAGAAATGTTTGAAAATTTAAAAATCAGCCAATATCATAGGCATATGCTGGTCTCAACGAGCATTTCTGTCACTAAGTATTTCTGATCACATGCTTCGGTTAGAGAAGAAAGGAAGTAGAGAGAAGAAAAAAGAGATGAGAGAGAAAGGAAGACAGAAGAAAGAGAAAGGGACCACTATATATTTTTTCGGTCTCAACATGGCACTGCCACTACCAATGAGGTTACTTTCAAATAAACTAAATAACTATTGTAATAGAAAATAATTTTTATTGAAAACTTCATATTTGAAATATAGAGCAATTATATGACTGGGGCATTGTTTCTGTATCAAATATATATCATAGTAGATTTCTAGTAAATTGAGATATTGTAAATATGTTTTTGCATAAAAAAGTTTCCACAGTACTCAAATTAATCTATTATGGTTTAATTAGAATAAGGCTTTGTGTTCACTTTAATCCAATTATATTCACCCTTTGTAAGAGGTGTCTTTTTATCAGTCATGCTCACTAGGTTCAGGTCAGCGACACTTAAGCAAGAGCAAGACTTTGTGCAATAAAGCAGTGTCTAATTTGAATCATTATGTCCCTTCTTTTCTCCCTGCTCCTTCCCCTTTTTTGAAACAAATTACATATTTTACCCGTTTTGCTTATTTAAAAATAAAAAAGAAAAGAAACGAAGGAGCTTAACATTGGGCTCAAGGTTACTTTCCTCACTTCGACCAAGGCAGGGTTCATTATTAAAATGGCCACGATTCAAATTGAGTAAAGCACCAATTTACGTTCAAAATGTTAATGTGCGTGGAATCCGCTTCATCTTAGGTGACTCAAAGCCTCGTTAGGATTCGTATAGTGATAAGGGATTTGGATAGGTTATATTAAGTTAGGTGTTCAATTCATATTTATATATATCAACAACAACAAAATCTTAGGTGACTCAGGTCTATGTTACAGTAGATATTTGGTTTTGGTTAATTTTTGAGAAAATTTTACTTTTTTTTCCTTCCCAAAAGCTTTGTTAATAAGATTTTAATCATAAACTATTTTTAATGCAAATTAAGTTAATCCAAGCACAATTAGTAAAAAAATTAATCCAAACACATACTTAACACACTTCTTTTTTAGTTACATGTTTTTATTTTTCAATAAATTAAGGGAAAAAAGAGTATTCTTTTAGAAGACACAAACTTATATCATTTTAGTAATTTTTAACTATGTATTTTCGGGAATACATAGTTATAATATTAAAATTGTATTTTTTTTTTTTATGAAGTTGTCTGTTGACCTGAAAAGTGAAAAAAAAAATACAATTTTAATATTATAACTATACATTTTCATAAATGCATAGTTAAAACTGTTAAAAAGAAATAATTTGTGTACTTTAAATTTTAAAAAGCTACTCGCTGAACCCATAAATTAAACAGTTTAAAAGGCATGTGCACACGTGACTTTACCATTACAAGAAATAGTTTTTCATTATTTTTTATCCCTCGTTAAAGTAGTTCACTTATGATTTAATCCTCTTGAAATTTGATTTTAAATATCTAGAGATTAAATTTCATTTGATTTAACCAAAAGGGTAGACTTGACAATGAGGTGAGTTGCTATATTTTTATTCAACCTTCCGCTCAAAGAGCTCAAAACCGAAACCCAACCACAAAATAGTTTTAAAATTATTTTTTATATACTCAACAATCAATGCCGGAGTTAGAAAATTTTGTGAGATGTATTAGAATATACCATTTTATTTCCTTTCTGTTTTTAGTCTCTGATGTATAGGATAATTAGTTATTGGCTCATGTGCCACGTACACCTCAATTTGCTATCTTCTCTCTCTTTTCTGTTAGCATACGTTTTACTGTTATAAAGAGCAATGCTCTCTGTACTCACTCACTGAGATCCAAGATAATGAAATTAGTTACTGATTCTTCCAATATTTTCTCCTAATATGGTATCAGATGAGTTTTTTTAGCCTCCGAGCCTTTCTCCATGGCTCGTGGTGGCAAAACTACCAACCCCGCTTCTTCCCATTCTTCCACATCTACCAATAGTTCCTCGTATGCTCCTATGGAGGACTCTGCTAGTCCTTATTATCTTCAGAATGGTGATCATCCTGGTCTCATTCTGGTTACTCACTCCCTCAATGGACCGAATTTCAACCCCTGGAGTCGAGCAATGCTCATTGCTCTCACCGCCAAAAACAAAGTATGTTTCGTCGATGGTTCTCTTCTTCGACCTGAAACTACTGATCTTCTTTTTGCTGCTTGGACCCGATGCAACTCCATGGTGACTTCCTGGCTTCTCAACTCTGTATCCAAGGAAATTGCGGATAGTTTGATGTATTTTTCCACCGCATATGATCTTTGGGAAGACCTCCGTGTTCGATTTCATCAAGCCAATGGACCACGTATATTTCAATTAAAACAACAAATCTCCTCGATGCATCAGGGTAGTCTGGACATCAACACATATTACACGAAATTGAAGATTCTTTGGGATGAACTCAGAGATTATTCTCCCAATCCTGCTTGCACATGTGGTGCTCTTCGGCTTCTGTCACAGACTCAACAACAGGACTATGCAATGCAAATTTTAATGGGATTGAATGACTCATTTTCTTCAATCAGAGCCCAGATCCTGCTTATGGAGCCACTTCCTCCATTATCGCGTGTTTTCTCCTTAGTCATACAAGAGGAACGTCAACGACAAATCACGCCCTCTTTTCATCCCTCTCTTGACACTCCAATGATGAACACAGCATCTGGGTTTCCTTCTGCTTCCGTCATGGCTTCATCATCGCCAGTCACCGCTGCCGTCACCGCCCAACGCCGCCCTCGCCCTTACTGCACTCACTGCCAGCAGTTGGGTCATGTCCGGGACAAATGTTTCAAGCTCCATGGCTTTCCCCCAGGCTACAAACCTAGAAGCCCCAAATATCCACCTGGCCCACATCAGCCTCAGGCCCAAATTCACCTAACCACATCTCAGCCCACCTTATCTCCACCTCACGATCCCCTCACCCCCACTCAGTACCATCAGTTACTCTCTCTTCTCAACAAAAATCCTGAACCCACCGCCTCCACCCCTTCATTCGATTTACCATCCACTCCATCTTCAGCTATAAATCCCATGATCGCAAGCTACAGTGGTAAGATTTCTTCATCAATTCCTTCAAACTACTGGGTACTTGACACTGGTGCCACCCACCATGTCACTTACCTTTCATCTCTGATTTCACATCCTTTATTTCATTCTTCTTCAGGTTCTATTTCCCTTCCTAACGATTCTCATATTCCAATTTCTTCTGTTGGAGATGTTTCCCTTTCTTCTTCGTTAACATTACGTCGTGTTCTTTTTGTTCCTTCATTTACTTTAAATCTCATCTCTGTTAGCGCTCTCACAAGAGATTCTAACATCATTGCCATTTTTTCTGGTTCCTTTTGTCTCCTCCAGGATGCTATAACTCACAAGACGATTGGGATTGCTAGGCGCACGGGTGATTTGTATTTTTTTGATTCATCAAATTTCTTCCCCATTTCTGATGTTCCCCATCCCCATTGTTCTGCTTCTATGTTTCCTTCTTATGTATTATGGCATTCTCGGTTAGGCCATCTGTCCCCTTCCCTTTTACAATCAATGAAAAATACTTTGCATTTTACAGACACCATCTCACATACACCATGTTCCATTTGCCCTTTATCTAAACAAAAAAAATTACCATTTATTTTAGACCCTCATATGTCTGCCACTCCCTTTACCTTAATACACTGTGATATCTGGGGTCCATTTAACCCTATTTCTGTTTGTGGTGATAAATATTTTTTAACTATAGTGGATGATGCCACACGGTTTACTTGGGTACATTTTTTAAAAAATAAATCTGATTTTTCCACATTTTTTCCTTCTTTTTATAGCTTGATTCATACTCAATACTCTTCTCCTATAAAAAGCATTCGGTGTGACAATGCCCCTGAGTTTCATCTCCCTGATTTTTATTCCTCTAAAGGCATTCAAGTATTTCATTCCTGTGTTGAAAGGCCTCAACAAAACTCAGTTGTTGAGCGCAAACATCAACACATTTTAAACGTTGCCTGTGCCCTGCATTTTCAATCCCATATTCCTCTGGCATACTGGACTGATTGTGTTCTCACTGCGGTTTACTTAATTAACCGTATTCCTTCTCCACTCCTTCATCATAAAACTCCTTTTGAAATTCTATCCCATAAACCTCCTTCTTATACTCACCTCCGTAATTTTGGTTGCTTATGTTTTTATTCCACTCTTTCTTGCAATAAACACAAGTTTTCTCCTCGTTCATCATCTGCTGTCTTCCTGGGATATCCCCCTGGCTATAAAGCTTACAAGCTTCTTGACTTATCCACCAATCGAATAGTCATTTCTAGGGATGTTGTCTTTCATGAGTCTATTTTTCCTTTTGTTTCCTCCACTCCTTTCTCCACTCCACTAAATTCATTACCTACTATATCCACATTTGTCCCTCACAATGTTACCACTGCAGCCTCTGATCATCTTCCTAGCAGGCCTTCTCGCACCAAAAAGCCCCAACCATATCTTTCCGATTTCGTTTGTTCAACCTCTACCATACATCCCATCTCTGCCCACTTATCATATTCCAAAATTAAACCTTCACACCTTACCCTCATTAATAATATTTTTTCTCACTTTGAACCTTCCTCTTATGCTGAAGCCTCTCAATTACCCGAATGGTGTGATGCCATGAATGCAGAACTCACTGCTCTTAAACACAATCAGACATGGTCCATTGTCTCTCTGCCTGCAGGTAAACATCCAGTGGGTTGTAAGTGGGTGTATAGAGTGAAGTACAAATCTGATGGGTCTCTTGAGCGTTATAAAGCTCGTTTGGTTGCCAAGGGGTTCACTCAATTGGAGGGTTTGGATTATATGGAGACTTATTCCCCTGTTGGAAAAATCACAACAGTTCGTCTTCTTCTTGCTCTTGCAGCTATACACAATTGGCATCTAATTCAATTAGATGTCAATAATGCCTTTTTACATGGAGAGCTTGCTGAAGAAGTTTACATGTCTCTCCCACCCGGTTACTCTACACAGGGGGAGTCTCTTCCATCCAATGCTGTCTGCAAGCTTCATAAATCACTGTATGGTTTGAAACAAGCATCTCGCCAGTGGTTTGCTAAATTTTCCTCAATCCTTTTATCTCTTGGTTTTTCCCACTCTCAAACTGATCATTCATTATTCACCAAAATTTCAAATGATGCTTTTGTTGTTGTTCTAGTATATGTTGATGACATACTAGTGGCCTCCAACAATCCTGATCAGGTTCTTCATCTCACTTCTTTCCTGGACAGCAAATTTAAATTAAAGAATCTGGGCTCTTTGAAATACTTTCTTGGCATTGAGGTGGCTAGGTCCTCTGCTGGCATATCCATTTGTCAGCGTCATTACACTTTACAAATTTTATCTGATGCTGGTTACCTTGGCTGCAAACCAAAGTCCACACCCATGGAACCCAATCTCAAGCTCTCCTCCACTACAGGTGACCTTCTCTCTGATCCCTCACTTTACATAAGACTGATTGGCCGTTTATTGTACTTAACAATAACACGACCGGACATCTGTTACACGGTTAATCATCTCAGCCAATTCATGTCTGCCCCTAGAGCTCCCCATCTTGCTGTTGTTTACAGGGTGTTGGCCTATTTAAAGGGCACTCCAGGTCAAGGTTTACTATTATCTTCATCTTCAAAATTCAATTCAATGCTTTTTCTGATTCAGACTGGGCTTCTTGCCCTGACACTAGACGGTCCATTTCTGTTTTTTGTGTTTTCTTGGGAGATTCACTAATTAGTTGGAAATCAAAGAAACAAGCTACTGTATCCAAATCCTCCGCTGAATCTGAGTATAAGTCTATGGCTGCTGTCACTTGTGAAATTATTTGGTTATTTTCTCTACTTAAAGATTTTCATATTCCTCATTCTGCTGCTGCTCACTTATTTTGTGACAATACTGCTGCCCTCCACATAGCTGCAAATCCTGTGTTTTATGAGCGAACAAAACACATTGAAATTGATTGCCACTTGGTCAGACAACAGATTGTTCAAGGCTGTCTTCAAACTTTTCCCATTGCATCTGCACATCAGTTGGCTGATATCCTCACCAAGGCACTGCATCCTGCTCAGTTTGCTTCCCTGCTTTCCAAGATGGGAGTGCACAATATTCACTCTCCATCTTGAGGGGGAGTATTAGAATATACCATTTTATTTCCTTTATGTTTTTAGTCTCTGATGTATAGGATAATTAGTTATTGGCTCATGTGCCACGTACACCTCAATTTGTTATCTTCTCTCTCTTTTCTGTTAGCATACGTTTTACTGTTATAAAGAGCAATGCTCTCTGTACTCACTCACTAAGATCCAAGATAATGAAATTAGTTACTGATTATTCCAATATTTTCTCCATGAAACAAGAAAAACAAAATTGACAATAATTTAGACAAGGCAACAAGATAATAGGTTGATATTAGCTAGAAGATTTAAAAAAAACTCTTCAAATTTTCTTCATACACGATGAATAATAAGGATGAAAATAAAAGATTTATATTACATTATATTTCTTTTAAGTGTTAATATAGTTTAAATCAAAGGTTTAATAAAAATGAAGGCAACAATCGTCCATCCTACCCCTTTCTCGCTCCACTGCTAACTGTAACGTAATAATCTATAGAGAGAAAAGTGATTGTCATTTCAAATAACATAAAATTATATTATTTTTAATAAAATTATGTCATTTTGATATGTTTTTATATTTTTTACTTTTTTTGTTTCTAATTTTATAAAATATAATAATAAATACGTCAAAACAAAGTAATATCATTAAAATTAATACAAAATTATTTCATTTATAATAACGAACACTTCTCCCTAATCTATTTTGCAAGTTTAGCTTTCAGAAGTTCCATCCTCCTTGATTGTTCGCAATAAAAATAAAAATTATCATGTAACGACAATTTTAATCCTTGAAAATAGTACATTTTCCGGTGACATCATATCTATAGCCACCACATATTACCGTATCTATATGACTTTTTCATATCTATATATCACTTTCTACTACTCTCTCATTATATTACGTTTTCTTATTTTGATAACATTTTAAAAAGAAAAAAAAAACGAAAATCTACATAATTCGATCTGACATAGAAGGAAGCCTTCTGAAGAAGTTCAACCCCGGTGACGGCAACCGGTCACGGAAGATAGGGTGGCGGAAATAGTAAAACCCAGAAGCCATAGCCACCATCTTTGAAGGCACCAAATACAATATCATCGCCACAACCAAGCACATCAAAACAAACATCCCCGTCGCATGTGGATCCCTCCACGTCACCAGCGACTGCACGCGCTCTCCTTGCGTCGCAAAATCTCCCAACACCGTTTGCACACGCGCCCCCAGCACGCGCAACCTATCATACCTCGCACGCACTGCTTCATTTGATCTAGTGCTTGGCACTGCATCAAACTCCTCGTCCAGCTCCTCCACATCAACCACGTCAGCAAGCGAAATCTTAGGATCAAAATGCGGAAGTGGGTCCCGCGAACGAAGCCTATAGTTCAACCCACCAATCACGAAAACGTAAAATGCCAACGTGGGAATAATCAAATCAGGGAACCACACCAGCATAACTAACAACGCGTGGACCAAAATCGTGGCCGTTGTATTCTTCCATCCACGTGTATCCTCTATCCACCGTAGGATATCAATCACCCCAGACACCACGTTGATTATCCTGTACCAGTTAGCACGCACCTTCCGCATGCTGAAGTTGTTCGAATCAGCGTCCAGCATGTAAAACACAACCTCTTTTCTCAGCGGCGGTTCCGATCGAGAAAGATGTCCCGCCACCATTCTCACCGCCGTGTTCCGCAGCACTTCCTGGTGAACCACCCCCAACGGCTTTGTGTGGTGCATGAACGGCAACATTGGCTGAAAGTACACGTGGAGGAAGTCCAACCGTTGAGTTGTGCGAACAAATCTTATTGCCATCTCAATTTCACCCACTTTCTTTAATCCAGCACGTGTAAGGACAAGCAGCGGGTACGTATTTCTATACACCCGACCTGTTTGTAGCGTAGATATGCGTACACGTACCTTTCCTATACGAAAATCAGGTCTTGTGGTTGCGTTGTCCTTTTGGCTTTCAACTTCGAAGACTTGCCAGCTGTCAAACACTCCAATTGTTAAAACAGTGCAAGGATCAAACACCTTCCATGTGTACTGCTCATTCCACTTGGGCTCCAAGTTATCTGATACGGTTCGTGTACGTACCCATTTATTACCGTATTTGGCTACACAGTACGCATCCGTAGAGCTTTTGTTGTTTAATGTTTTCATCGGTACTAAGTTCTTGCAACCAATGATGCCAAGTTCGACCGTACCAACCGGTGGCTTCCAAAGTTGTCTTGCCGTGGGGCGGTAATCGCTGCACACGTGAGCTGCCTCGTCCATCACGTGATACCCACCGTCAAAGCATAACCGAAGGTGCACCCTTCCCTTATAGCTACCCTTCTCATTATTAGGGTCCTCGAAGGTGAACCAACGCGACGCAACGTTTCGTTCATCAACCCTTCTTTCAATTGCGGTTAGAGGTATTCTGAGTACACCCATTGTCACTGGTCCTTTTTGTTGTTTGTTTTCCAAAGTTAACACAAGGTGGTCATTCACATGCTCTGCAGTTACAAAGAGAAAATCTTCGTTCCAAGAAACGATACCGTTTCTAGTAGCGATTGGTTTTGATTTCAGCACCTGGAATCCGAGTTGGGCTCTGAGTTGAAACGACGCTTCCGTCATCGATGTTAACGGCATAATGTCCTGAGCTTCGAGAAGAGTGGCTCGGAGGTACCACAGCTTCGGTGACTGATACACCTTAGCTCTGGAGTTGACGTGGGCATACGTGTCGCTTTTCCATGCTTCTGAAAATGACTCATCAGCTTGTGTTCCAATCCACGTGGCAATCATGAGGTCACCGTGCTGGGCTCCACCACCTTCCAGCCTGTACCATTGTGGGGCAAGGGGACTATCAGGTGGGTCCCTCACAGGAATCTCATTCACGTCAAAACAAACTCCACCGAATAAGTTACCACCGTCCACGTCAGACATGAAGTCCCACACTGAGACCTCAAGAATGGAGGAAGAATCTGGTGCGTCGCGGCCGAAAGCAAACGTCTGGTTCCATTCGAATAACGTGGTCTTACGCGCTGGCTTGGACGTGACGTGGTGACCAGTAACCGCAATCTTAACCACCGGGTTTCCGTTAGTGGGTAGGTACCGCGCTTTGACCACGTGGACGAAGAGGTAATGCATCTTCTCAACGAGATCAAACGACGACCGTTCAATTAACATGCTATCCAACGATACTTCTGATGAAAAACTGGCCGTTGATGCAGTCCTTCTGATTGGCTGTGGACCGTTGATTCCGCTGAATCTTATTTCCGAATTTGACCTGGACACCGATGCTGCCATTGCTTCGACGTTCACATCAGGTCGCACCGGTGCTTCAGGTGGTAACGACTCCACCTGATCTGCATTTTCTTCAATTGGCGGTTGAGGCGGTTCCGGTTCTGATTCAGGTGGTGCCGGAGGTTCAGTGTTTTCAACTTCCGGTGGTGGTTCAGATGGTGGCGCCGGTGGTTCTTCTACTTTTTCAGGTGGTGGCTTTGTCTCTGTTTCTTGCTTCGGAACTGCATCATCTGGCTTCACTTCCTCCTCCGTCTGCGGCGGCGTTGGCGGCGGTGCTTGTTGTTCCGGTGGTGGTGGCGGTGGAACCTCCTCGTCTACGTAGTAAATTTTCAAGCCAATATCGCCTTGGATCATGCTGAACACGCTCTTCTTCCCCAACTTGTAATATATCAAAGCCTCTTCACCTTTTCGAACGAACTGCGTCGAACTGAGTCGAAGCAGACCCAGTGAGTTGTTCCTCCGGGTCGACCCGAAATTCCGCTCGTGGTTAACGCTGAGCTCCAGCGTGTCGCCGAAAATGTCAGAGTGCGCGCCCACGTTAAACGACAGCGTTTCGTTCCAGACCGGATTTAGGTCACGAACCGCGGTTCGAGTTCTCTTCCGCTGGCCGTAGAAATCAACCACCACGTAGGGACTAGAACTTCCGTGGCCATCTTTGGGCACAAGGTTCTGAGCGCCCACAACCTCCACGATGAGTTTTCGAACGGTTACCATTTTGTGGTTTCTGGTTTTTTCTTCCACCACCAAATGATATGGGTTTAGGTATTGCTGTGGGTTTAGTTAAGTGAGACACTTATATAATTTGAGAATAACGTAGAAAAGAAGGCATGTATTCCGCTTTTTTTTAAAAAAAAATATCAACGGGTGTTCGAAATTTCCAATTTTCGGGTGTGACTCAATTACAATTTTCAGGAATTGAATTTGTTTTTTGTTTTTTTTAGAATCTAATCCTAGAATTTAACTTAAATATCATTAGCTGTGGCGAATTGAAAGTCGTCATTCATTCTTAAATTTTAATTTTATTATTATTATTATATTAATGCTAATAATTAACACCACCTTAAGAACATATGTAATAGTGTTAATTTGAGAATAACGTAGAAAAGAAGGCATGTATTCTCTTTTTTCTTAAAAAAATAAATATTAAATTAATAATTCTTGGGTTGCGGTATTTTTATTTTTAATAAAGAGAAAAACAAATATCATGTTGTAGGACAATACTCTTGTCACGCTATAGAGACAATAAGTGTGGGGTCCACCATGTTTAAAATAAAAAAAAGGAAAAAATACAACACAAATATCGATATATATGTAGAAAGCTTTACATAATATGACAACTGCAAGACTCTTTAATAAAATATATTTTTCGCTAATAATTTCTTAAAAATAATTTATAAAATTAAAATACTATAGTGGAATTCTAAGTTGTAATGGTTAGAATTAGAATATAGAAATGTGGAGTGGAAGACAGACACAGGGGTGCCTATCTTGATCTTCAAGTAACTTTAGGCTATGAAGCTTTGTGGGTCGGTTTGTCAGTCCAATTCCATTATTATTTTCTTTTGCTTTGCAACTTAGGATAGAATAGGTTTTCTTTCTTCTTCTTTTCTTTTTTATGTTGTGTTTTTTTCTTAGTAGGGAAGATTCTTTGTCAAACTTAGCATTTGCTTTTTGGCCATCCCCTTGACTTAAAGGGTTCTAATAAAATGACATTGGGCGGAGGGCAAGAAATGGAGATGAGGAATGAAGGCTTTTCTTCCAAAGGGAATGGCTTTTGTGTCACCGACCCTAAGGTTCTCGTCACTGGATACTGCTTTATGTATAATTATTGGTAATTTTGACAAAGATATGACACTACCTGCACCTTTTCACACATTTCTAGGAATCCTTAATTCTTGATCTGATCTATTGCAGCTACTGTTGTTGTGCTTTGTATGTGAAAGTGGGATGTAAGTGAGAGGTTTTATGTAATCAACTTAAATAAAAATTGGGAAATATATTTATTATATTTTATAAGATAATTTTATCTTACATAATATAAAAAATGAATGGATCTATTAAGAAAAAAAAAGGAAAAAAATAAATCAGCTTCACTCACTTTTTGTGTATGAGTGCGAGACATTTTTCCAATAAAAATTTGATACCAATTAGCTAGTAAACTAGTTATATTCGTTTTCGAGCCTAAGAAGATAAGGTCCAATGCTGCTTGCTACATAGAAATAATTTTATTAGTTCAGAGTGTAAATGACGGAAAAGTTGTAAAACAAACCCACGTCCAGTTATCTTATAAACACAACACTAATTAAAAACAAAAAACAATACAAATCACATGCAAGAACATGAAAAAGAAAAAGATATTTTTTAAAAGAAAATAACAAAGAATGTAGAAGACACAAGAGAATATGTGATTACGCCCGACCGAAGAAAAATCAACGATATCTTCCCTTGAATGTAGAAGACTCAAGAGAATATGCGACTACATATCGAGCTTGTTTGGATCCTCTTATTTTTAAGCTAGAAGCTACTTATAAGCTAAAGTTAAAAAAAAGAGCTTAAAAAAAGAAGCTAAAAGCTGTTTGGAAATTACATAAAAAATTTAGCTTAAAAATTAGTTAAAGCACATATTTCAAGAAAATTATTTCTCTCTCTATCTTTATCACTCTTCATTTTAAAAAAAACACACAATTCAAGAAAAACAGATAAGAGCTTAAAAAAAAACTCCTCCTAGGAGCTTTTAATTTGCAGCTTTTTTCTTCATTATAAAAAAAAGAACTTTTCGTTATAAGAGCTTTTTTCAAAACCTGTTTGGCCTAGCTTATGCTTATAAGTAGCTTCTAGCTTAAAAATAAGAGGATCCAAACAGGCTCATATGGTCGACAATAAATTGGAAGAATTTTTGCCCACTTTAAACTTTTGAGGGCTTCCAAAAAATTGTTAGATCGTGCCTGTTCACGACACATAGTAGGAATATTAATTGATGCATTTAGAGTTGCGCAATTACACATGGCTTAACCAAATAAGGGATTGGTTTAAGAAGTTTGGAGTCAAATCATGACTTGCATGTTCAAAGAAGTAATAATTTGAGATCTAATAAATTATAATCAAATTTAAGTTCAAATGAAGCAACATATTTGATTCTAATCTGATCCGTAAAGAAAAAAGGAAAATAACAAATTTAGTGTAATTTGAAATATAAGATTTACAATTTGTGTTGATTGATATAGTTATAAATAATTATCTTTATTTTTAGAAATTTTCTTATGTTTAGAAGGTAGTTATCATTATAGTTATTTTTTAAAATTTTCATTATTATTATTATTTTAATTTTTAAATTAAGTTATAAACGGTCTATAAAGGGTGCTTAAGAACCTTATTGTAGGAGTTGAATATTTGTCATTTTGATAATAAAAATTCAGAATCGTATGATTTTTCTTTTACAAAATTCCAACTTTTTGTTTAGCAATTTTTCTATTCGCTTTCGACATTATTTGGTATCAGAACACTGAGTTTCCTCCAACCAGTGACTAAACAAAATCATAGAGATTGCAGATGGTGGAGTCGTGATGGTAAGGGACATAGATTTGTTTCTAAAGAAGGCAGACATGCATGTGATATTTAGCATACACGGCGGAAGACTTTATTTGAAAAAGAAATAAAGCGTCTTATAAAAATACGAGTAAACTTTTTCCAAAATATTTTATAAAAATATTTCTAAAAACATTCACGTGAGATACTGCGAAAGCATAAATCTAAAACATACATCTACTAATTAATTCCATTAACCAGTATTAGTGGTCATTGACCATCCGGATATAACATCAAGTGTCATTCCTGACGGAGTCTCACAGACAGGATAACAGCTGTATTTCGAATAACTGGAAACATGGTCCCACACATACAGTTGACCTGCTAATTATAATTTAAACAGACAGCTCGCAAGTCCCACACGGACTGCGATCCCCTCTCGGGTCAATACAAACAATAAAACTCCATATCCAAAATAACTGAAACACATACATCAAGTCTATATTAATTCTAAAATATAAAAGCATCAGTAAATAATCGATGGCTCTCAGTATACAATCTTGAGCATAAATAAATACATGACATAAATCTCCACATAGGATAATTAGGCCTGTTAACAAATCTACATGCCATCATAAAGTCTAAACATAATATAAAATAATCAGTTGCATCATCAACTACTCCAATGTGTGGCCTTGCCCCTAGACGCATCACCGCTACTCTGGGTACCTGAAATGATGTCCCCAAATGAGGTGAGATAACAACATCTCAGTAAGCTCAAGGTTCATAGAGGATCCTATAATCCCCTGGGTCAGATATAAAGCATAGGCAGTCTAGATTACACATGAGTAGATGACAAGTCAGATATAAAGCATATAATACAAGCATACAACATAAACATAGCATCATCATATCATCCTTGTGTAACCCTAGGGTCAAAGCCATAGACGGTTACACATGTGTGACTCCAAGATCAAGCCATAGACAATCAACACAACCTCAGTATGAAATAGCTCCCAGAGTCAAGTCATAGACAACCTACATACCATAATCACTGGCCAGGATTCTCATAACATATATCATCAGTGCATCATCATAATATCAATAATCAGATAACATCTATATGAATGTGAGTGAATGCACATAAATGTCATACCACATACTTTCATACAATACAACCATAATGCCCACCATCATGGTAGGGCCACAAGAGAGAGGATGCAACTAGAACTAGGAGCTTACCTCAGGGAGTTTAGCACAAGCCCACACTCCAATATAATACGTATGCTTCAATACAATCCTCAAGTGCAAGGTTCTCTAGGCACACCTAGAGTAGGTGATAAACCCTTGGTTTACCATGTTTTTAGGCTTAGTTATGTTTGATATATATCATGAATTGCATGGGAATTAGGGTTTTATACTGTAAAGTCACAATAATTGAATATCTTGCTAACATGTTATCATAATTCTTATTTTAAGGGATTTTTGACACCTATTATGGCTCTTTGGAACCAAAAGAAGACATCAAGTTGAGTTAGAGCCTCAAGGAAGCAAGATTTCAAGTGTGTACCAGCTGTAAGAGGAAGTTTTTGGCGCCGTTGCCGGGGATCGAATTCTTCAACATTAGAAGTAACTAATTAACATTTAGATTGGACGTTTTAATTTTCTGCACTTTATACATTCTTCAAAAATATTTTTCTGCATCAATTTTCTGCATATTTATTTTTCTGCATTCTTTGTTTGTTTATTTTATTATTTTTTCTGTTTTTCTGTTTTGTCTTTTTTCTATTTTTCTGCACATCTTTTCAATCTTAGTTTATACGAGGTACTCTTAACCTGCGAATCTTGCAGTTTGATCCTGAGATAGAAAAGACAGAAAGAAAACTTAAGAAAGACGCAAAAGCAAAGAGAGCGAAGGAAACAAAGGCATCAACTTCGACGGAACCAAAGGAGGAACCTAAGGAGGAACCTATGGCAGAAAATAATCAACTCGCTCCAAGGACCTTGGGAGATTATATGACTCCAGCCCGAGTTCCACAGACGGAAAGCATTGTTAGACCAAACATAGAGGCTAACAACTTTGAATTGAAGTTGGTACTGCTGCAACTGATTCAAAAAGAACAGTTCGCTGGAGGAAGCACGGAGAACCCCTATAGTCATCTTGATAACTTCTTACTTTATTGTGATAC